TGAATACATCAGAAGGCAAATTTTGTTACATCAAGTTGTTTTTTGGGGCAAGATCACACGGTGATGTTAACAGAAAAGAGCTCATCATAGATTATAAGTTTATATAGGGTGGCTTAGAAGAGGATTCAAAGATAGAGGGATTTTTGTTTGTTTGTTTGTTTAAATATTTTATAATTCTCCCTGGAAAGAAGAAATCAGGAAGCTGGAGTTACTATAGAATCTGCACTCAGTAATAGTTTTAGAGACAGGGACATGTTAGGTCAATATTCTAGTTTTGTCTGAGTTCTGACTTGATTACTGAGTTTTTTGTTTGTTGACAGTTTGTTGACTTTCTGGATTTATCATGGGTGGATGATTGACCGATATTCGCATGACTGACCAGTCTAGCTGATAATGTCACAGAAGTCCCTGCATAGAAGGCTTCTTTCATTTCCTCAAAACATTAGGAAGGGGCAGTAATTTGATGCTGAAAAAGAATAACTGTATATTGGATTTCCATCCAGAAAAAAATGAAGAAATAACCATTTAAATATGTGCTATGAAATACATTTTTATATAAATCATTCATCTAACTCTAAGAGTTAAATCATAGTATAATCTGTATTTACAGCTAGGGAAATTAATAGTGGTAATGAAGGTGAGAATTTCCCTCAAGGCACATAAACAATAGCTTGAATGTCTAATACTGAAATCTTGAATTCTTAAATGTTATTTCATTTTTCTGCTTCAAAACTACAGGCAAGGATTGTGTATACTTTCCGTCAAACTGGAAGCCTGTAACGATGCTGGGCAGAAGTTGGGAGTCCAACATAGGAATTAATTTGGAGGGATAAGAGTCTTAGTTATTTTTTTTAAGCACATTGAGGAGTGATTTACTGTGTTTTATGTATTTCTTCACTCATTCTTTCACTTTTTAATTTTTTAAATTGTGAAACAGTTGAAAAGTGGCAAATAGCAAAATGGTACTAAAGAATTACTGCATGAAAAGTGGATATTTTGTAATTCTGAAATAGGTGAAAAACACAAGCTTTGCTAGCATCGCAGAAGTTCTAGACTTCCTTCTTCCTAATGGGCATTTATTTTCTCTCAGGCATTGATAACTGATATGTAGACCTCAGTAGTAATTATTTCTTTGTTTGTTTTTTGTTTATTTTACCATTTTACCTTATATCCAGGTTTAGTTCCCCCTAAATTTATGCAATCCAAGTAGATGTTTAAATTATAGTCCCTATATTCACTTTATTTTCTTCTAAATTATGAGTATGAAAATCTCGCATATCTTATAGTTTTTGATTGTTTCATTTTACTTCTCTACATTGATATTTGAATGGATTTTTAAATAGTGTTTTGTAATTTTGAGCAATTTCATAATTAATGCTCACATTGTCCTGATGATACACATTTGTCTTCTTCTTCCAGTTTAGTCACTTTCTTACATTTGCACATTTTTCTTGATGTACACAACCTAACATTTCTCTTCAATAGGAGTGACATTTCTAGAATTGGTAAATATCTATTTGCAAATTTCAAAATTGATGCCAATCTATTCGCAAAAGTGACTGTGCACTTTTCATGATCTTTCCACTAATGTATGAAGGATATGATTCATTGAAAGCATTAACACAGTTGCCTTAAAATTTTTGGTCAATACACAAAATTTTTGTATTTTTATAATATTAGTGTTAGTATTAAAGATGAAAATTTATGTATTGTTATAATATTACTGTTTTTCTTGCCTGCTTCTGATTATTAAAAGTGATTGGCATATTTTTATACATTCAGTTGCAACTTGGGTATTGTGTTTTGTTATTTCTCCTAGCCATTTATGAAGAAGTTTTGTGTGTGTGTGTGTGTGTGTGTGTGTGTAGATGTGTAGGTGTTAACTGTGTATTCTGGATGTGAATACACATCCCTTGGGAGATACATGTACTACTAGCATTCTTCACAGAAGGAGAAGGAGTAAGATATTTACAAATATCTTAAAATATTTGTTATTGCGTGACCTGAATACAAAGGTTGAGAAATTCCACAGTGTGGCACTGGTAATCTGGAGAAAGGTGAAAGGAAGTGGAATAATTCTATCCTATTGTTCAGTGGTCCAGCGTCCAGGAATGCTTGACACAGGATAAGATGGACCCCATATCTTGAAAAGAGAAAAACAATTTGCCTTGCCTTCACCTTGTTGTTCTTCATAGGCTCTGAATGGGTTGTGTGATGCCTGCCCACATGGAGGTCTGATCAGGTTTTACTCAGTCTATTGATTAAATAATAATCTGTTCCCGAGACACTCTTATAAGTGCACTTAGAAATAATGAGTTTGAAGCTGTCAGAAAAAAAATCTTAGCCTAGCCTAGAGAAAGACATAGCATTTATGTTCATATATGTGTTACATGTCTTTTCCTACAATGTAGATTATCACATTTTTTGACTAATAGAATTTCTTTATTTTAATAAAATTGATTTTATTACCATTTATTGCATTAGTGCTTTTGGATACTGTTTAAGAATTTACTACCTTGAAATTATGAAATTAGTTTTCATTATCATTTAGAAAATTTAATTATTTGATCTTTCACATTTAATCATTTAATTCATGTGAAGTTCACTTTTTATAAAGTAGGAAGAGAGGATTTATCCCCCTTCTGTCATAATTCCAATTGTCCCTACACTATTATCCACCGTTCTTCTGTGTTACTTTGTCATAATGAAGGGCTTATATATGGGTTGACATGTTTGAACAACTTTACTTAATATCTTTGTTATGCTGAGTTATAGCCATAGTTTGAACTACTATGGAGAAAGCTTCTATTAACATCTTTACTGTAGGCCTTAGAGGACTTACATCAACTTTACTGAACATTTAAAACAATTAGCTTCATCATTTACTTTCTTGCATAATTCTTCTATCTTTTAGTTTTAATGATTTTACATAAACATTTTAATGCTATGAATATTATTCTAAAGAATGCTTTGGCTGCATTTATGCATTTTCGTAAGTTGTGGTTTTGTTTTCCTTTAAAATATTTTCTAATTTCTTTATCTCTATTTCTTTGACCTTCAAATCATAGAGTATACTTCAGAATATTATAATACACACTATACCATATGATCACACTTATTTGACCCAGTATAAAAGAGTATTTGAACAGTTGAGAACAAGAAAGTAATTACTGATAATGAAATAAAGAAAGTAATTACTATTATCATATATAATAATATTAGTTACAGAACCAACATAAAATTAAATCCTTTGACACCTGATATATACCTGAAGCAAAAGCTTTAACACCGAATACTATAGATTGGAACGCAACTTGGGAGTTATATAAATATTAAATTTCTAATACTTAGGACAATTTGCAAATTGTAGTCTTTTTTGTTTTGCCATTTCTTGTTCAAAGTTTTTTTAATGAAGCACTTGCATTATAGATGATATTCCTATGCAGGAAAAGAAGTTTCTAACATTTGACTGTAATATAGTTTTAAAATATTTGATAAAATATAAAGTTAAGCAATTATGTACACTATTCAGAGCTTAAACTACACAGCAAAATTTTAAGATAAAATATCAAAAAGAAAAAAAAACATTTACAGTGTATCAAGCAATAGAATTGCTATCTGTATTTTCCCATAGAAGAATGGCTTCCTTATTGTGTTGGTATTTTACGGTTAACAGAATGTGAATGTTTCTGGAGTGTGACAAGGAGTTGTATTTTTATTTCTTCAAACTAAACAAAATTAATTGTGAACACTTATTTTCATACATGATCCAGATATTAATAAACTTACTTTTCTTATCTATAAGCATTTTTTAAGATTTGTGTAGGACATGTTTGTTAGCTGAAAACTATTATATATTGTTGGAGTCTTGGTTTGTTACTTGGAATCAGATTTGCACTTACTTGAAGGTTAGTTTTCTTTTCCACTGCATGAAGACCCTTCAAAATGTCCTCACCAACATCTTTGAATTACTAGCTGGTTGTATGTAAGTTTGTATGCTCCATTATGCAATAAAGACCAAGCATTGCTCCTAGCATTTTTCTCTGTATTTTATTTATTTATTTTCCTGTATGTGAGTGATTTCTTCCTAAGCATGCCCTGATTAGTGCTTATTTGACCACTCAAAATAATTCCTTTAAAAATCTCTGCAGGTGACTGGGTATTTAGCTCAGCAGCAAAAGCACCTGTTGGTGCATACAAGGTGTTAAGTTCAATCCTGGGTTCCAAAAAACAAAACAAAACAAAACAAAACAAAAATCTATGGAGTTCTACCTCTGTTCTTCTCTCATTTCTTTTACCCTCTGCCTTATGAATTTTAGAGTCCCTGGCTTTCTCAAATTGTCTTCTCTTTGAACTCAACTCACAGTACCCAAGGACCTGAGTTCCCAGTACCTAGTAACTTTCTCCAATTAAGACAATCCTGAACTCATTTGTTTCCCTCATAGACTGCTAATCAGTTTTGACAAATAATTGTGTCATAAGTATTCATATGTCTTCTTGAGTTTAAAATCAAATCATAAAATATATGAAAATGTTTTCTGATCCACAAAATTTTACACAGCTGTTTTGGTTTGCTACTATGTGAGAATCATTTGTGGTTAAAAATATAGGACCTCTTAGATTTTACATGTTATCCTTATCTAAGAATTACAATTTAAAGGAACAATGGTGACTGTACTGTATCACTATAGACCTGGAAGCTGACCTTGATGCCAAGGAAAATTTTGTCCTGTGGATTTTGCTGAACCACGTATCTGAAGTCCATCTTGGAGGCCTCTAGTTTGTTGCTCTTTCAAGCTTTCTCCTCATAATTACCCAATTATTTTTCCTCAGTTATTATTCTTTATTCTTATACAATTCCATAATAATATCTTCTCATTGTTTATCTATTATAAATTAATCTGGACTAAGAAGAGGTTACAGCATTCTGTTTTCCCTCACCTGAAGAATATGTTTTTTACATATTGTAAATATTGGACGTCTTTTTCTTTGTGTTGCAGATATATGAAGTCTGAAAGTGAGATCGCCGTTAATTTCCAGTAAGGTAGGGATACTTTCGATTTTTCTATTTTCACACGTTCAAAACTGCTTTGATAAAACTCAGTGAAGGGCTTCTTCTTAAGAAGCGAACCTCTTTGAAAAATTAATTATGAGAAAAACAAATCGCACCCTTTGAGCCATGTTTTTCAAAACTCGTAAATGTCTCCTTCAAAACCTCCCCTTGGAATCACTCCAAATTCTAAAATACCAAGATTATGAATAAATAACATTTCCTTTTCAGGGTTTGCTCTATCTTCTGTCACTGAAACATGCATGTTAGTATAATGCAACTTATTGTGCTTTTTAAATATTGAGCGTCTCATAAGTTTATTGCTACCTTAGGACTTGTAGACAATAGTAGAAAAAGGAGCATGCAAGAAATGTTTGAATAGCTTCTAGTTACCCATGTAGGGACATTAAGTGAGGAATACATATAGTAATGGAAATAATTAAAAGGCTTTATAAATTAGAATATGAATAGATTAAAAATGAGGAAGACTGTTGGTCTCATGGGGACATATTATGTTTATATTTGAGAATAAAAATTCACTTGAAATATATGAGGGACAGACTGAATACACGGTAACAAAAATTGGTATTGAATGAGGATCTGCTCAACCAGTTCATGTTTGTTGATTATTATTTTTCTTTATTTGTTTTGTTTTGAAGCCCAGAATAATTGTTTATTCAATTAAATCAGGCAATCAAATTGTTCATGGGTAGGAGGTGAGGTTTTGCTGCAGTTTCAACCAAATTGACTAGATTTCGTAAATGATATCCAACATTACATTGTTTTAGTGTTTGTTTTATGACAACATATTTCCTTGCCTATATGTGTATTATGCATAGGTAAGTAAATGTCAATTCACTAGATAAAAAGGATTTTCCTCTTTAAAAGAAGAATACAAAGTTAAACCTGTGAAAATATTAAACTAAATACATAAGGACTACCAGGAGGCTCCTTGAAAATCATACTTAAATTGGCATAGATTGCCTTGTCAATGTGACACAGGTCCTCTTATAATCCTGGCCAACATTTCAGATGTTGCACATTTGCACAACAATAGGAAGGTTGGTAGAACACAGAAGTTTAAATTTTGGCACTGCCTTATTTAAATTGGAAAACTGTATTTTAATCCTCTCCAATGAGTTATTAATTTTTTCCTTAGATAGATGGGTTAAAATACGTTACTGGGAGATAAAGATTTCAATGTAAATTATAATTATTCCCCGCATGTGTTCTGATACATTTTGAATGGTTCTTGCTTGTAAATTGGGTGTTAATGAAATAAAAATGTTCTAACCATGTGGAACATCAGAATTGCAATTGAGTGAAGAAAATTTTGTAAATTCTCCAAGGATGCTCTGCTGCAGTGAAGGCCTTTGTGTGATACCCACTATACACAGAATTATGTCTTTATATACTTAACTGTTATATATAGAGACCTAAAAATTGCCAAAGGAAAGCATTTCTGAGAACTGCTTTTAAAAGACAAGTGTTCTGTTTTTATTATTTTATTTTTACTTGGTTTCTGAACCTGTCAGCTTCACACTATAAAAACCATCATATTCTGTAGCCCCCTGGATTCACCTCATAGGGACAGGTTGGGGAAGTTGCCTACTTATTCAGAGGATGAGCTGGTGGCAGAGATGCTCTTTTTTACTTGCGTGTTCTTAATTTCCTAATCTGAATCTTTGGATTTTGCGCCTGTAATTTCTACATTTGCTCACTAGTGGATGCTGCATTCATGTTTTTCTTCAGACAAAATGCTGGTTCAAAATAATTTATATTAAAATGAGATGTATTTGCATTGATGAGATCAAATGAATAAACCCACAGCAACAGCACTGTTAAAAAATCTTTCAGCACAGATGGTTTGACATTACTTTCATCAGATCAACATGATTTCTGAAAAGGAGAGTTGTAAGAAATACACTATTGCAATATTTTATAAATAGTAAGTAAATATTACAAGAATTTTTTTCATATGAAATGGAAAATTAATTTTGAATCCACTTTCATAAGTTAATGAATCTAAAAATATTGTGTGAAAATAGTTCTTTAATAAGTCATTATTTTTCACTGAAGTTTATTGTTTAAATATTAATTTTTTTAAAAAAATATAAGATAGTTTATCCTTAAATAACTTGTTTTATTGGATTCAAAGGCAAATTATTTTACCACTGAAAGTTGACAAAAATTTTAGTGCAACATAATGGATTCATTTAAATGCAATACCAGTATGGTTTTGGAGTAGTATAAATTTTGAGTAATCTTTCTTGAACTTTATTCGAATTTGTGGGTGTGTGCATCTTGCAAAGAAAAATGTCCTATTCAGTTAGATTAAATGAAATTCAAACATGTTCAATGATGCATCAGCTAAAAGAAACTTGTAATGAATTCTCATCATGATTCATGAATTATTCTATAAACGGTTTTCTCCACTAAAGGAAATAGTTCCCAAGTACAGCTCATTTTACTACTGGGCTTAGGGTTTTTCTACGTACTCTTATTTATTGTCTTAAATGTTTTTATTCTTATATTTTTGGTTTTTTCAAGAAGGTAAACAATAATATTGTCAAAAGTAAGTTTCAAATACATCAGACTGAGACTGAAACATTTTACTGTTAAATATTGCAATTTACTTCTTAACTGCTGTTGACTGATGAAAAGGAACTCAGAATAGTTATTGATTAGTTAATCGAGGACAAATGTGAAGACAAGGTACATAAAAAATAAAGGCAACATTTATGGTAATATTTTACTTGATTATTTTGTTGTTCTGTTACTTAGAAACTCACTTTGTTAACCCCTTTGAAACATTTAAAGCCAACTGATAGAACTTCCAATCACATTTTCAGATTTAATATTTTTTTATTCTTCTTAATGTGTCACTTAATATGGTCTTTTCCTCAGTTTTTATTTTTTATTAGTGTGTATATAGCATATAATGTTTTTATTCATGGTGGAGAGTTGGTAATTTCAAGACATTGAAAACAAACTCACCACCAAAGCATTGCTCTTGGTATGTTAAGGCTGTCAATTCAGAAAGAGAAGAAAATGTGCAAATTTTGAAGCAACATATGTCAACTAACCCCTCACCGTTATTCTTTCAGACTAGAGTAAACTTGCTAGTGTAAACATGTCTGTCTTAGTTACTTTTTACTGGTCACTGAGACAAAAACACCTGATGACCAAAGTTGGGAAAGGAAAGGTTTATTTCTTACAGTTTTTGGAGGTTTCAGTCCATACTCAGTTGGCTCCAAGGAAGGGTGGCATGGTGGGGCCACAGTTCATGACGGTGTAAACAGCAAGACTGAAACTTGCAAGAGAGCAAGACACACCTTCTTCTGGCCATTACATTACATCCTGGCTCCACTCCTATGTGGCTATAGCACTGACACTATCAATCCAAGTAGTAGACAATGAACCAATCACAGATGCATAATGCAAACGCATGAGGCCTGGAGGCCACCGACATAAACCGTGACAATGTCCATCATACTTTATTAGTTAACTTACATTTTTTTCTTACTTAAGCTATTCTTTCAGATAACAGCATATGGCTAATCCATAGCTTTTAAATATTATTATATTCATTAATCTTTAAAGCAGCATTATTATTTTATCTAAAAATGACTAAAATTATTTTGCTTCAGAATTTGGCTTGAGAAAAATTTGCATAAACTTAGAAACTTAGCATCAATTTATGTGCTCTTAAAATTGAAAGTAATGAATCCAATCAAAAGAATAATTTGAAAATTCTGATCAGTATAGTAAATACTATTCAAATATCTGATTCTCCAAAAGGTAACTCTGTTATATGAAAAATAAAAGACCATTCCTACACGAATCTATGGTTTTAATTTACATCTATTCTACCTTACAATTTGACTTTTAACACATCATTTGGCTGTGTCTTCAAATTCAGAACTCTTATTCTAGTTGAATGGTTGTTACTAGTAGTTTGAAATGAAAGACATGCAGTATTGTTTAGCATGCAATCAACTATAGATAGGCAATAAGTTGTGATGTTCTGTTGTTTACTATGGTGACTACTGATAACATTAATGTGATACATATCTTAAAGAGGCAGATGAAAAGATCTTAAGAGATTTTACCATAAATAAATGCATACTGTTTAAGAAGATACTCTTACTTACTCTGATTCAATCCTTAAAAATCACATTCCCTCATTCATATGTGCAATTTTTATATTCCATTTAATAACACATTTGATTTTTAAAACAGCTTAACCTGGTTTCGAAGTTTATTTGAGCAAAACGTAACTTTAAAAACCATTTAGGTGTATCACTTTCAGACATCTCTGAAACATATACATTACACAATACTTATTAATGTTAATAGAAAGTGAAATTTCACTTTATAACAAAGAGGAATGCAACAAATAATGCTTGCCGTCTTCAACTTACAAAGGAATAAATAATAACCATTTTTAAACTTCACAATGCAACACAAATAATCTGCATTACATAGAAACTGTATTTCAGTTTGAGTTTTGATCTTTGTCCAGCTCACAGTACTCACTATCATGCTCTTGTTATTTGGACAGCCTCAGCAAGCCATGGAGTTATGTAGTCACCAGAGTAAATTCTGGATCCTCTCCCAGATACACTGTTGATAGACTACAATAATCAGTAGGTTGGTGTTTTACATGACTTTTTTACTTATGATATTTTCAATTTAGGATAAAGTTTTTGGTGATGTAACTCCTCTGTAAGTCAAGGGATATCTACACTTTAAACCTCAACTGAAATACATTATTTGGTATGCTAGAAGTACTCCAAGTTATTTACAAATGCTTCCTAAAATATATATTTACTAGATCAGTGATTCACTCTAAAAGGCATTTGAAGGACATTTTTAATTAGTTGCGGCACCCTGACAGAACTACTTATTCACTATTCCATGAGTAAACATTTGACAATAAATGCTGATTGCAAACAAGTCATATTCGTCTTATAGTATGTTGCTTGTGTTTT